CTTTAGAACTTGCAAAAATACATTTTTCCTAATAATAATATTATTTTTCCTAATATTAGTTTTTAATATTAGTTAATTGAAAAAAAGCGAAGTCACTACAGTAATTCCCTCCCAAAAAATAAAAAAAAAATTAGTGCTCTACATTTAAGTATTTAAATAATTATAAAAATTTTTTACATAATATATATTCAGCTTAATTATATTTATTCAAAAGTGTTATTATACAATATTGTATTCAAATAAGATATTTCACAATGAAGGTTTATTAGTTTGCGATTGCAAGACAATCGCGATTGCACAATTGAAATAGGATCAAATTGAAAATTTCTTTAATTTGTCTTTTTTCAATTTCTCTCGAATTTGCAATATATAATTTATTCTGTAAATATAAATAAACTTTTAATTTTTAATAATGCAGCATTCGAATGACAATGAAGTTTGCATCGTTGGAATGTAACGATTTAAATTTTTCAAACAAACTTGTGCAGTCCATAACAGACAAAATTTACTTGCATGGTTATTCCAAGGGTGAAACATTGTCACTTGTTTCATTACGTTTTTGCGGAATCTCAACACTAATCATGTAAGTAAATTTTGTCTATTATATTACACAAGTTTTTTTGAAAAATTAAAATCGTTGCATTCCAACGATGCAAACTTCAGTGTCATGCATTCGAGCAACGACTCCAACAAGTGTCGAAGAATTCAAATGACATCAATTCTCTTTATCTGAGAACAAACATTTTCTTTTTCGACACCTACACGGTGTCTCGAACAAATAAGAATGAAATATTGCGAATCAGAATGGCAGAAATGTTACATTACGTAGATAATTAGTCGAAGAAAACTGTATAGATACCTCTCTCTCTCGCTCCTCTATTTTTTTCAGAGTATTACAACAATATATTTTAAATAAAAAATAATATCTCTGAAAATTTTTATTTTTTTAATTTCATATTCTTTAAATAGATAGAATAATTAATTTTTCTATTTTATAATGTATAAATAATTTTGAAAATTTAATTCGGATTATAAAATAATAAATAGTATTTTGTAATTTAAATATTTTTATAGCAACAATGCTGTACATCTTACATTTCAAATATCATTTTGATTACGTGTAATCTGCATCAATAAATTATTTTAAAGCTCAATAAGAGGTATGATATACATGATAGAGAGAGACACAGAACATTTTAATAGCCACATCAAGTGCACTGGTAACATAAATATTGTTAAGTACACGAGTCAAATTTAAAACACTTATTTCCATTCGCTCTTTAAATAAATAGCTGCATATAAATGTATTGTATAAATTCGACAGAGATTTTTTCCGTGTATGAAACTCATATAAAATTCACACATGAAATGGTTAATAATTTATCATATATAATAAATGTGTCGTGAAATATCTTTTAATGAATCCTTTAATTATAATCTAATTTATTTGTGTGCAGAAGAAGCTTTTCTTTCAAATAAATATTCGTAATCATATTTGATGTCAACTGTTCATTCCGGTTCATTCATATAAATTTAATTACCTTTATATCTGTAATATAAAAAAATTAGATTTATGGTAGAGAGTGCGATTTGCTGGGGTTGCCTAATGGTAATATAATCTGCAGATCTGCAGATTCCGCCAAATCGTATGGAAATTAGTTTCTCTGATAACCACGAAGAGCCGCAGACTATAAATACAATAAAAAGTACCGAACATCTAAAATTATATTTAATCTCATCTAATTCTTATTTTCGCATAATTTTTTATTACTTAAAAATATTATATGTTTCTACATCTTTATTCAAAAACAAAATCCATTTTAAATTAATCAGAGAATTTGTAATAAAGCTTATATATGTGATAAGTTTTTGCCCCACGATGCTCTGTATAAGTTTTTATAAATGGGGATGAAAATATTATTACGTAAACGTGTCTAGCGGAAGCAAACTTGAAAAATTGCAAAAAATCACCGGAAAGAAAAATCGCTAAGAGAAGAGAAGGGGGAAAGAGAGCAAAATGAAGACAAGCTGTCGCAACGTGGACGCGGTAAGACGGTATTGCGGCGTTTCTCTGGCAAGAGCGGCGACGCAATGCGTCTAGGCGTCTCGGTCTCGGGTCAGGAAAGTTACGTGACGACGTGAACGACGTCGCGAAGGCACATCCTTTCCATTCGACGGGCTTCACCGACAATTGCAAGCTAAAGCGGCTGTGTTGGTCAATGACGGGTGCCAAATGTCCCACATTCCCTTATTAAGGACAGAAGTAGATACGACGAAGCGGACAATAGAGCCGCTATCGTCGCCAAGAACGATGCATCGTTCTATGCAACTCGGTACAGTTACAGATGCAGTTATGACAGATGCGTATAGAAGGACGTTCGAATTTAATAGATGATCGATATACTATTCGATACTTCGTGAGAAAGCATCGGTGCTTGTATACTTGATCAAGCAGGAAATAAATTTTTATGAAAATAACTTTTTAAGGAATGCAAATAAAAAAGATAAATAAATAAATCCTTCGCTCTTTACTAACTTTCATTAATTGTAAAAAAGGCAGGTTCGTAAGATTTTTCGAAAAACATGTGCTTTTTATTTGCACATTTTTTTAAAGACATATCGCGTATATACGTCTCACTTAGGTAGTCAAACGATTCTAATTTCGGTATATGGTTAGCATGTGGTTTTATTGCAATAGGGTTTGCCAGGTTTACGCACGTGAGAATTGACGAGATAACGCCACAACGCGTGTCAAGGAAGTTGTATTTTTAGCAAATACGGGGGCTGTGACTGTATAAGCTATACGCGGTAAAATGAAGACATAGTAAGCGGCAAATAGAATTTTGGTTGTATGTGTGCAGAGAGAAAGAAAATAAAAAATTCAGACAATATATAACACTCCAAAGAGAAATTGCTTCCTAAAATAGTCTTCTGCGAATTCTACTCCAAAGTTTTACTCCACAAAAGAGTTAATAAAACAATCTCAAAGAGAAACGAACGCGGATCAATGAACGAACTTTGATATTTTATCTACACAGACTTAAAACTAGATCAAAATATTTCAGTAAAAGAAAAAAAAATAAATAAAAAAAGAAATTATTATATACAAAAATGATAATTAAAATATTTGTACAAATTAGTGTAAAAAGCAATAGATTTAAAAAATAATAAAGTATATAGAGCTAAGGTACGCAAAACTGAGGTAAGACATTTTAACGTAAGAGAAATTGATAATAAAAACTCAGATAATAATTAGTGCCGATAAGCTGTCGGAGAAAACGTAATTACTTATACACGAAAGGTATGTCGCATATATGCAGTCAAATGTGAAATCGTGGTGATGGAAATCGTATTCAAATCATATGCAAAATACGTCTAAGCCATATATGTACACACGCGATGTCTGCAAACTTTTCTCCAGTCACGAATTCGCGCACGTAGCACATAGGAGTAACGATTCGCGTTTTACGAGAGAGAATCACATAGTGTGGATTATAACAAGCTCTTCGTTATCAGCTAGGCCCAGATAGTCGCGCTGTGCTGTGCTAAGTAAACTATGTATGTACACATACGTAGCTTATGCTACGAGCTACGATAGATATACTGCGGTAATAAATACACGGCGCAGATTGCTAATTAGATGAGTGACAGTTCCTTTTACACAATAAAAAAAGAATATTTTCATAAATATATTGTAACTTGGAGATAAGCTCTGTTGGGGAAGGACGTAAATTTTATTAATATACCACGTTATACGTGACACGTACCGTTTTAATTCGCCGCGAGCTCGCCAAGTGCAATATGAAAAGCAAATTTGCCTATGTAAGGGAAGACGTAAGTTGACACACGGCAGAAACACGCGAGTAATACTCACATTTCAAAACATAATTCTCTAGACTCTAGAAACAAACAGGAAAGCTAAACTTGTATCCACCTTCAATAATTTTGCAAATATCTTAGATAATTTTTTAAAAATAACTTTTAGGCATAATTATATACATATATATGTAATTATGTCTCTCCGATCTATTTCTTTTACAATATTGAATAATGGTTTTAGACTGTTAACAGCAGATAATTGAATTTTCCTGTAGATGCGCGAGAGGATATAATTACATCTTCTCTTCCAACATAATTAATGAACGTGTAATTTCTACTACAGAACAGGGATACGCACAGCAAAAATCAATTACATATTACATTATATTTTATAAATTTTATTATATGCAGCAAAGCTTGCGATTATTACCGGAAAAAAATTATATCCTTTATATATTTATTATTTTGATAATGAAATAACTGATATGTGTGAAAATGCGAATTTTACGTTTTTCTTTCAATTTAAATAGTATTCATTTAAATGAAAAAAATATATTAGTATCTTTCAATGCATTTCTTGTAAAAAAATTTTGCAGAAAAGACAAGATACCAGACTATACACAATATTAGTATTGTTGATACGCTTATTGGGAAATCAAATGCCTTTTATACACGTTACATGTGTTTTGATGTTACGTAAATGAAACGAATGTTTCCTCGTATCAATATTGTACCGGATATTTTGTTACCATAGAAAATACTCCTGATATAGGAGTATAAGAGTAAACATCTCGAGAATTGTTTAATATTTTTCTCTATTAAAAAGCAAGCATTTGCAAATATAAAGATTTTGACGTTGCACACAAGATATATTAATCTTTTTCTTTAATTAATTAATTTATATATATTTAATGTATATTATTTTTCCTTATAATCTATAATTATATATAAATATATTTATCTATAAATTTTTAACCATATAATATATAATTATACACACAAATAATTTAATATATATTATTAATATAAAAAAATAAATAAATATAAATCTCTATGAAAGAGATTTAGAAAAATCTCTATATTTACAAGAAAAGACTCGAATAATAACATTCAAGTCTAAAGCGAGGTTAGAGCGACAAAATCATACGATGCGAGACAGGATAAAACATTGCGTTACTCACATTTTCGAATCCCTGTCGACGATATCTCACTGTTGTTTTATGGATGACGATCCGGAGTTTTCCCCATTAATTTCAATTACTTTTCCAGCCGAAGAACACACAAAACACTTGTGACATTTAACACGTACTTAACCTCGCGGTTTCAGGAATCTTCGCGTTCATACAAATTTTCGTTCTTCCACTGCAAGAATTACAAACAAATAATATTGCACACGATCGACTCAGGTTTCGCGCGATACGTCGATTATATTAATGAATGATTGAGATATGTAAATATATTATATTTGTCGTCAAACAAAACAATATATAACGCACATAATTTCGGAGACTCGATGTGAACGATCGCGATGTATTTTGGCGCCATCTCTCGTGAGATGAAATGTTGTGTTGGTCAGTTGGTCATAGACAAATAAAATACATAGATGGGTGTCCTATAATCCTATTCTGCGATGAGAGGAGGACTTTATGATAAAGAGATAGAACTAACAAGTTATTTTTTTTAGATTTAAATTTATAAATATGAGAATGAGAAAATTTATTATTCTGCATGACAAATGTTAAAGTCAATGATTAAAATATCGAATCCAACTTTATATATATATATATATATAGGCTGGTTGTTCCAGAACCTCTTAGTAAATTTTATCCGACAAATAAGATATATATATACTCGTCTCTTCCTTTAAATTAATCTGAAGAGATTAAAATATGCTATCTGTCAAGTAAAATTGATTCAAAAGTTGAAATAATCGGCTCTATACATGTATTATATATATATTATATATATATTCAATAAAGCTTCATTCGATGCAATAAAATCATGAAAGAATTCCTCAACACTATACTGATTATTAAAAAGGCTTCCAGAAAATGAAAGAAATTGCACTACATCTAGGTACATGTCTTATAAAGAAAAATATACCAAAAAGTGTACGTGTATATGCGGAGTTATCGCGTGAAAATCTGAAGTTTACCTGAATTTCACGTCGCTTTGAATTTGGGTGATGAAGAGCCATCTTGCGCGCGGGAGCGACATGAAGTTCGTCGCGAACGACGTTGCGGCAATGCGTCAAACTCGAATCGATTCGCGACTAAATTCGTAATCTAACCTCGCATCGGGGACCGGTGTACGGAATGATGTTTCGTTATCTTTACCGTCTCGCGAGATCGCGCGCGATTTCCACCGATGGGGATGCAAATAATTCGCGTCTCGCAACTTTACGTTCGCGAAAATACGAAAGAAGCGCTCTACGCTAGTGTCTTTTTTTTACGCATCGATGTATTAACCTTATTATCGCGTGGCACGCGAGTTATGACGTAAATCTACTGCGGACGGCCGGGAGTCCAATATAACATGAGTAAACTTAGATTAGGGTCAGATTATATCCCCTTAACGACGGAGGAGGACATGTCGAAGATTCGCGTCGTCGTACCGTTTTCCAAAGTGGCATGGCTCACCGTGTCACTGCCGTTCCTGGCGTTCGTCTTCTGTGTCATCTACTCGATCCTGTATAATTTCGAGCACTCTACTTCCACCCATTGTCAGGTACGCAGTGATCGTAACATAATTACTGTTTCTCAAGTGGACGCTGAACGTGTTATCTTCCATGATTTTGCACAAATTACACATGACCGACTGCATTCTTACGAGTTTCTAGTAGATTGTGTTATTTGAACGTCCTTGAGTGCTGAAAGAAATTTAATAGAGTTAATTAAGAACTTTAGCATATCTTTAAATAATAATGTTTCTGATAATACATTTAAATTTATGTTTATAATATAAAAATAATTTTGCTGATGTGCGTTTCTTATAGGTATACAATTTTTTACCGTCTGTCTCGGCGGCTATTGGTCATTATAGACCTCAAAGAGATGTCTGGAAAACTGCCATAGCATTGCAGGCTGTAGGGAGAACCTTAGTGTTTATGCTGTACTATCGTTACTATAGAGAACATGTTTACATATGGGCACGATACTTGAGCAATATTGCGCTTGTTATGTACGCCATTGAAAATACATCTCTTGTGACATTGAGCTTTTGGACTTCCAATGAGAATTATAGTACGTAAGAGTGTGCGTGCAAATTTGCATCAATATACATACAAGTATTATTTTACATGCAATATAATGATAACATATATTTTTTTTTTTTACAGCATTCCATAAAATGTCTTTTATAATGTTTTTGATAACATCTTTTATACACATGTTCGTGGCGTATTATATTATGAGGAATTGCTTGAATATTGCAAAAGACTTCCACGATACTTCTTTAAAATGGAAACAAAGGTCACTGATGTTGAATGTATTATCTATATTAATAGCCTGTTACTTCTTTTATAGGCATAATAAATATTGTGAACCTTTAGGTAAGGCAATATTGTAATACATTATTGTAAAATAATGTTATTAATTTATATAAAAACTTATATATAATTTCAGTATATTCTATGTTTGCTTTGAGCGAATATGGAGTTGTAATCTCAAATATGGGATATCACTTAACTGCAGCATTGGATTTTGCTACAACACATATTATGATATCGGAGAAAAGACTCAGAATTATCTAAAATCTTTTAATTTGATTGAGATTGTGAGTATAGTATTATATATATATACTTGAAATTTTATTGTATATTACTGTACATATCGTTTCTGTCTAAAGTCTTTTGATTATTCTTCCATACTATATTAAAAAATAATTCAGTTAATGATTTAATCAGAGATTATATAGATTGAACTCTTGAAGAGTATGAATGCATTGCAAATATTAATATCTAGAAGCATTTAAATCAAAATTTATATAAAAGTAAATTTCTTACAATGCTCTCAGATAATGCTAGAAATGATAAATACAGAATCTTGTACTTCCTTTTGCTATTATCTTTTATATATATTAGGTATTTTACAATGTATATAGACATATATATAATGATATATACCGTTTCATATATATATATATATATGGTATGTATATATGAAAACAATTTTTTGCTTATAAATAATACAAATATATTATACATGTAAAAATATATATGTATACCTTTTTTGGAAATTTTTTCTCTAAGTACCTGTCCTGTTTTATTTTTAATTTGGATGATTAAACAAATATATGTATATGTATATCAAAATAAATTTCTTACAATACTTTAGACTTTAGATAATGCTAGGTAATGATAAGTACAAAATCTTGTACTCTTTTTGCTATTATCTTTTATTCTGCTTTTGTATATATATTATTAGATATTTTTATCACAATGTATAGACTCATATATATATAAAGATATATATTGTTTCATATATATTATATATATATGAAAACTGTTTTGCTTACAAATAATACAAATTGTACATATTAAAAAAAAATATATATACCTTCTTTGGATATTTTTTCTTTAAATGTCTGTGTTGTCTTTTAATTTAGACAATTACACACACACATGTATATATCAACATCGATTTCAAAATTTGAAATCCCGATCGAGTTTATCAGCAATGAATTTTGCTATCGCCATAGAACTAGTTGCAGCAGGTGATGGTGCATTTCGACAATGCAATACTCTGCTACCAATTGCACCAATGCCTCCGTCGAAAACGAAGTCGTCAACTAACTTGCCGTCTTTATCTAGCGCCTGCGCTCTCACTCCCGCTGGTCCTCTATTAATAAAATATAATTAATAATATAATTAATATACTTTAATTATCTATATAATTAATATTATTTAACATAATTAAATTATATAATATAATTAATATAATTAATAAAATATGATTAAATCTGTAAGAACCAAAACAGATATTGCAGTACATATAAAATACGGACCTTTTGACATCTTTGTACGAAACTTCGGGAATAAACTTTTGTAGATCCTTCACTGCCAGTGGATAGAAAATTGATTTTAACACTTCCTTACAGCCTGGTAGAAAATATCGGAAGCACAGTTTATATAAACCAGGAAATTTTGCCATTTCTATGCAATCTCTTATATTTATATCGAACCAGCTAAAATGGGAGAAAATTTTATCGTTAAAATCTGGTCAAATACTTGTATCAATATCAATAATTATACCTACATAAATATATTTTACGATATTATACATATATTATCTAAAAATATGCACTGTTACCTGCTGGGATTAGTTTTATGGTGATAGCAAAATTTATTGCCGATAAATTCAATTGCGAATTCAAATTTTGAAATATCGATGTTAATATATACATATATGTATAATCATGCAAATTAAAAGTAGGACAGAACAGACACTTAGAGAACAAAATTTCCAAGATATATATTCTTACATGTATAATTTGTAATTATTTATAAGCAAAAAAATAGTTTTCATATATTCGATTTTAATAAATAATATATTTATAATAAAAAGAAATCATTACCTATAGCCTTCTCTAGCGAATGCGAGGACAGCGTTAGGACCTAGCCAAATATCGCCCGATATTCTAGGTGTAAAGTGCACGCCTAGAAATGGGAATCTGGGGTCGGGTACCGGATACACGTTGGTCGTGCAGAGATGCCGCTTGTTATCATTTAGAAGAAGATATTCGCCGCGAAATGGTACTATTCTAGGACTTTGATCGCAGCCCGTCATTATCGCCAGACGATCCGAATGCAAACCAGCACACGTCAGTACATATTTCGTTGGTATGCACTTTAAGAGAAAAATCGTCAAAGTGTTAGGTATAATGCGATGGTACAATGTAAAAATGTATCATTAAAGCTTACTCGATTTTTCGATTGGACAGAGATGGGAGCAAGTTGACTTTTTTCTTTCGATTCCGTCATTTCTGCAAATCCAACTGCTTCGAAATTGAGGAAAATCTCACCTCCCATTTTCTGAAAATCTTCGGCGAAAGCTTTACATACAACTGCCCAATCTACTATGCCTGTCCATGGTGACCATAGAGCCTTTTCTCCCTTAAAAAAAAACAAATACAATTTTATAGATTTTTGCTTTTTTAAATTTGTTATTATCGTATTATTTCACAGTTATATTTCTGATATTGAATATTAAAAGATAAAATTAAAATATTATGAAAAAATTATATAAAATAATTAAAAATTAACTTAAAAAAATTGATTGTAAATTAATGAATTAATAAAACAAAGAAAAATGTAAATACAATTCTTTTTTATTTGCATTATACCTTGCACTTTGGCTCGTATTTAGATATGCAGTCTTTCTCAACAATTTGAAGATCCGGTACATTGTTCTTTGTACCTCGATCGAAGAGGTCGTCTATCCTTTTGACTTGTGTTGGATTCTGGGCAACAATTAACTTGCCAACCTTCTTGTGGGGTATGTTGTTTTTACAAAAGTATTCATAGCTAAGTTTTAATCCTTCCACACAGAGCTTCGCCTGTTAACAATTGATTCGGTTAAATATCTTTTAATTTTTAACTATATATATATATTATACATATTCTATGTAAATATATAAAAATCAATTTTAGCAATTTTATGTTTCGAAGTTAGTAAGATTCTAATTAATTTTATATTCAAGTTCATACTTTTTAATCTTAAGTTATTTTTCTCTTTTATTAGATATCAATATAAGAGGGAATGAGATAACGACCAGTAATAATAAAAAAGAACATTTAATTTATTATTCTTGTTAATTTCTGCTTCTTGTCTTAGTTCAGATTCAATGGTATCAACTTTCAGATGATGAATGCGAGAAATTATGTTTTATTTCAGTTTTACCTTCATACTTCCAGGAGTGTAATAAATGCCGGCGTGTACCACTCCGCTGTTGTGCCCTGTTTGATGCATGGCTAGGGCGTTCTCCTTTTCCACGATAGCCATCTTCATGTTTGGATGTCTCATGATCATCTCGCGGGCGGTAGCGCAGCCGACGATGCCACCGCCGACGATCACTAGGTCGTAGGCGCTGCATGTGCTGAAAATTTTGTTTACAATTTATTTACATGATTATTTTTTTTTAGATTTACAACGACGTAATCTCATTATTTTATGCGATGTTTGTAATACGAGATGACTTGTTTATTGAGCGCGATTATTTCTCAATACAGATTTTTCAGAGATTAAAATTTATATAAGAAGAAATACAAGTTTTTTGTTCATTTATGATAAAAATAAGAAAACGCTGAATTATTAATGAATTTAAAGGCAGAATTGATAATTCAATGATAGAGATATTAATCTCTATTATAATTAAGATTTTATAAAATATATATACAAATTATTCTTACAATAAACGAGAAAGTTTACATCAGGAATATACAGCATCCATATCAATTTTCGTTTTTAGATAGCAAGTTATATATAATTTTATGAAATAAAATAATTTATTACTCCACGATTAAAGTTTATTATCAAATATTAGCCGCAGAGATTTAAAAATTTAACAATTCCATGCTGGATCAAAACGGCGTTTATTATTAATTAATTAATATCCAATATGTAAATCCTACAAAGAGATAAAGATACCTTGCGGCAGAAGAACCGTAACGACATAAATAATGCAGCTGTGGTACAGTTCTCTTGATCAGAAACGTTATCAGGTTAGTCTTCATTATGTCATCACCTTAGATTTTTAGATCACGCTTCTCCTAAAAAAATCACAATCGCGATTAATTTTTCATATATTATCACCCGTAATCGTATATTAATATAAATCTTAATTTTAACAATTAATGTAATAACTAATTTTAATTTCACGATTTCCCTCTACCTTTTTTTTTATTATAATTAATTATAATCAACTTATTATTAATTATAATTCGTTAAAGATTAAAATCTATTTTCCATAAATCAAAACATCTTTCGTGTACGATACATATGAAAGAATTAATTAAAATTATATATATAATTATATATACACATGTGCATAATAAAATTAATTTTAACATAAATTTTTAATTCTGAGATAACTCGAACAAAAAAACCGATTTAATAGAAAGTTTTCTAAAATATTTTTAAAGGTATGCATATCAGCTGTTCCATTCATCACGTGTGTACCACGTGGATCGATTATGTAATACACTAAAACTATAAAATATATACATTTATTCGTGATAATCGCACACACTGATACATTACAATAGCTTGCGATAGATATATCGTTTTTATCTAATCACGAAATAGATCTAAAACGTTAAAAACTATATATATATATCGCGTTATTAGTATATACGCACACATATATATATACATATATCACATAAAGAAATTAAAATCACGTCTAAAACGACAGAAGATTGTATTTGAACTGAATCGATATCAGAGCATAGTAAAATGATTTTGTAAGCCGTTATCACGTTGACGAGATGTTATCAGTTATCACAGCTGACTAATCTAAACATTCCAATACATACATACTCTCTTTATTAATGCTCTCCTGTTGCGTACAGTTATGAATAAATATTTCTCGTGCAACAATGGAGCACTAATCATCTGGCTCAGCAACATTCTGGACAAGAACGATTAAAGATGCTTATATTTAAATTTCATATTCTCTCGTGAAAGATAACATAAATTAAATGACTGTATAATTAACGTAAACATAAAACATCCGTAAACTCTCGAAGGTTATATCGATGGTCCAACTCCAGCAAAGTGGCTACGTTAATAAAGTGGCGCCGCATCGCGGCGACTACAAAAATTATCCGTCACTTCCCGAAGCAAAATTGTCCAAGCGGAGGCCGCGTCGACCAATCAGAGGCCGCAGACCTCCGTCCTATTGGTCAATTTCGCGCTGCACCCCAGGCGACTATTTCCGAACACACGCGCAATCGCAAATGCAGGCGCCTCTCACCTAAACTTCCGAATAGTTCGCGATCAACGTTCGGGTACTCGCATCCGGTCGGAAAACAGGAGTGTGAATATTAATTAGAGCGTCTTCACGTCGTTAATTACCGTACAAAATCAGCGTTTACCGACATCGAGATCGCGATCGTACGGGCTAGCAATCTCGGTATCTCATTTCTCGTCTTCGTTCCTCCGAAAGTTCGCGTCACAGCAACTTCGGCTCGACTCGGCTCGAGTCGCCGAAACTTCCCGCGCGCGAGCGAAGGACGACGGATCGCGAGAGTGATCGTGCGCTCTTCGACGCGAAAATTTTCCGGGTTTTTCGGCGTTGTCGTATGCATTCCAAGTGGACGTTTACGCGTTTCCGGTCGTACCTTCGGCTCGTCGATTCGAAGTATCGTTTCGCGACGAGCAAAGCCCGTGGTTCTCGTCGAAATTGTCAAGTCAGTTGTAAGGTTGTGTCACTATGTTGCATCTCTTGTCTTCCTCAATATCTGCAACTTTTTGCCATGGTGATGCTCCTTGTCTCGGGAGTGCAAATCCGGGAGTGTCGTGTTTCGACGTGGACCGAATAATCTTCTCGAAAAGCATCGGGCATTGTTTTGTCTGTATTTCGACTGTATTTTGACGTGTACAGTGACTCTCGTGCGGTATTTCGGTATTATTCGTTCGACAAGGAGCTTTCGCGAGTGCTCCAACATCTCCAGGGTGCCATCTGCCCGAATATCGGAGAGTGTCCGAGAAGCGCGAAAATTCATCGAAATCGACAATTCAAATTGTGGGAGCTGCTTGAGATACTGTGATGCCGAGTGTCGCCGAGTGATGTCGCGTAAAGTGTCTCTTCGCCATGACACTTTTCGTACACTTCGCGATGACACGAAATGCATTCGCGAGTAACCTTATTTTTTTTCGTATCGTCCGTTCATTTCGAAGTGCATCTGTGTATAGTGAAGTGCGATAAATAATGATTGCAATTATAAAATAATAGAAAAAACTGTGCAGTGATCAGTGCCAAATTATATGGGATTATAGCAGAGCAGCAGCAATGGGACATTAAAGCGGATATATAGTATTAAAGCAGAGAGGTTCAGATAATCGGTTCAACGCAAAGTGAGTATATTTTTTGTTTATGTTACATTGTTCGGAAAATAATGATTGACTGTTATTTTTTGGAATATAATAAAAAATTATATTGCGTTTACACACTTGTAATTTAGAAATATAACAAATTTTTTTACATATTAAAAATAATATTATATAGTTATATCTATTTATTACTATAATATTAATGCTAGAATTGTAAGTATTTTGTTAATAATGAATTTAAGAAAATATTAATACAGTAAAAAAATTCTAACTGAATGTAGAAAATAAAATTATTATTAATTTTATTGTCTACATAATAATTTAAATAAATAATAAAAAGTTAGATTAATTTTAGCAACTGACAACAAATTAATTTTGTTCATTATTTTCCGAACAATCAAGTTTACGTATCACTTTTAATTAAGTTTTGCCTATGTCTAAAATTTGATTAATTTGTCTCTTTTCATATCTCTGTCGAATTTATACAATACATTTATATGCAGCTATTTATTTAAAGAGCGAATGGATATAAGTGTTTTAAATTTGACTCGTGTACTTAACAATATTTATGCTACCAGTGCACTTGATGTGGCTATTAAAATGTTCTGTGTCTCTCTCTATCATGTATATCATACCTTTTATTGAGCTTTAATATAATTTATTGATGCAGATTACACGTAATCAAAATAATATTTGAAATATATTAGATGTACAGCATTGTTGCTATAAGAATATTTAAATTATAAAGTACTATTTGTTATTTTATAATTCGAATTAAATTTTCATAATTATTTATAAATTACTAAATAGAAAAATTATTTGTTTTCAGAGAAAATTTTACATTTATAATATATTGTTGTAATATTCTGAAAAAATGGAGAAGAGAGAGAAAGAGGTATCTATACATTTTTCTTTGACTAATTATCTACGTAATGTAACATTTCTGCCATTCTCATTTGCAACATTTCATTCTTATTTGTTCGAGACACCGTGTAGGTATCGAGAAAGAAAATGTTCGTTTTCAGAATAGCAGATAAAGAGAATTGACGTTGTTTGCATTTTTCGACTCGTTGCTCGAATGTTGCGTTATTAGAAATTAAAATTTAATCTATTTATATATTACAGAATAAATTATATATCACCAATTCGAGAGAAATTAAAAAAAGGCAAATTAAAGAAGTTTTGAATCTTATTTCAATGTTCTGCAATTGCGATTGTCTTGCAATCGCAAACTAAACCTTCATTGTGAAATATTTGATTTGAATACATTATTGTATTCAATAATAACACTTTTGAATAAATATAATTAAGCAGAATATATATTATGTAAAAAAATCTTTATAATTATTTTAATACTTAAATGTAGAGCATTAAATTTTTTTTCTTTTTTGGGAGAGAATTACTGCAGTGACTTCTCTTTTTTTCAATTAACTAATATTAAAAACTAATATTAGGAAAAATAAAATTAACTTGAGAAAAAATAATACTAATACTAAAAAAAATAAAACTAACCTAAGGAAAAATAATACCTACTAATATTAGGAAAAATAAATTTTTGGCAAGTTCTAAAGTATTAAAAGCTAATATAAAATTGAGAATGGCGTGCGCACACCACGCTTTTGTTGTTCCTAGTATTGTTGACACATTATTTTTCAATATTTTTTATTATCAACCTGACCAGCACTCCACTTTAAGGTATTTCAAATCCGCTTGCGCAATCTTTTTTAGAATCGTTTGTAGTTGTGTGCAATAATTTTATATCATTTGTAGTTGCACGATTTATAAATTGCACTTATTTAAAAAATGGTCAACAGTGAAAAATTGTCAATTTTAAAGATTTTTTTTCAGGAGATTAAGACACGTTTGTAGCAATGTCAATCGAAATTCCTATTAATGGAAAAAGCAGATTTAAAAAATTTTTAAATTGACGAAAATCACTTTTGAGAATTTTTTTAAACGATTGTAAGTCATAAACTGCGCAACTAGAAACGATACAAAAATTACTAAAAACAACTACAATTGATTCTAAAAAAATTGCGCAGTTAAATTTGAAATATCTTAAATTCGGGCGCAGTTCATTTAAAAAAATTTTTTTATATTTTTTAATTAACGATAAATACTTTCATTTTTCGCATAAAAAATTAATTTTTAGATGTCAGGTGTCAGATTCGCACACCTCAATACGCGACATTCCTTAGTTCGAGTATGTCTTTAAGCAGAGATAGATCGATCTATCGACCTTAAAGAGAAAGTTTTGTTAATGATTAGCACCCCACTTTAAGATATTTCAAATCCGCATACGCAATCTATTTCAGAATTATTTTTAGTAATATTCAGTCCGTTTTTAGTTGCACGATTTTTAAATTGCACTGGGTTAAAAAAATGATCAATAGTAAAATATGTCAATTTTAAAGATATTTTAACTCTGATTTTTTTAGGAGATTTGGACTCGTTTGTAGCAATCGCAATCGGAATTTCTATTGATAAAGAAAGCAGATTTTAAAAATCTTTAAAATTGATGAAAATTATTTTTTATAATTTTTTAAAGATTGTAATTTTTAAACTGCGTAACTACAAACGGAACGAAAATTACAATAAACAACTACAAATGATTCTAAAAGAGACTACGGAATCAAAGAGGTATCTTAAAGTCGGGTGCTGCTCTTTATTTTAATAAATTTAATTTTTTAATTGACTACAAACAAAATACTATCATTTTCGGTATAAAAATTAAAAATTAATTTTTTGTATGTCTGGTATTAGATTTATATAGGTGAATTTGCGATATTTTTTAGTTCGAGTAAGCCTTTGAGCGGCGATAAATCGATATATCCACCTTAAAGCAAACAAATCTTTAAAATAATCAGCACCGTATATTTCGAATTCACTTGCGTACTCTATTCTAGTATCGTTTGTAATTGTTTGTAATTTCTACGATTTCGTCTGTTCGTTTCGTTTGACCGTTTTATCAATTAAAAATAATTTGGCAAATTAAAAAATTTTGAGAAATTTAGGCAAAATTGAAGTGGACGGAGTTCTTCATTATTAACTATTATTAATTTTAGATGATATCTCTCAATGTGTATGTAACTTATATTACAGATCAACTCTGATGATCTTTCCAACTGAGGAGGAGAAGGAGAAAGCAGGTCTGGGAGAGACATCAGGCGCTGGCGGAGCAACTCTGGGGTAATTATTTTTGTTTATTATTAGAGGAAATAGTAATAATTTTCAGCAATTTGGAGATAATAATATTAATAATAACAGTAGCAGCAGGAATAATAATATATTAAAAATATTAATTTTTGTGCACTTCTACAATTTAAATTTTATTTTTGTTTATTACAGACAACGTAGCTTCGCTATTAACTCCGCTACTACGGTTGGTGAGTGCTAGTTTTTTATTATGAAATAACGATTTGGTGCATGTATATTTAGTTGTAGAGACGTAAATTTTAGATTGTAGATTGTAAACTGTTGTTTGTAGATTCGTTACCTCAAAATAAGTACACATTAGATTAGGATATTAACCATCGTACAAAGGAAACTTTATTTGATCAGTGTTGTTGAGTTAATTATCCAACACGACAAGAGCGCAATTTTTGTCAGATCCCATGATTGTTTATATATTTGTTTGACCGCGATTTAGCTTCTTATTTAATAGATCGTTGGATTACTCTATAATAAAATAAACTTTAGTATGCCAAATATTCTTTAAATTGAAAGACACAATCTTTAAATTTATTAATAATTCTTCGTAATAAATTTATTAATAATTCCTCGTTAATAGTAAAAATCCCAAGTCGACTACAGCATTTGCACCATCTCATATTATTGCTATTGTTATATTATCGTATACGTACACTGCTCTCTAAAACATCCTCGCAAACCGGTGTCTAGTCGAAAATATTCGATAAAAGCGAGAAATGTTCAGAAAATGATATTCTTGTTTCGCGAAGCGCCAGATTCTCAGAAATCGTTCGAGGATCTGATTCTCAAAATCGTGTCGATAATTTTTTCCCCCAACAAGCAATAATTTCGCGACGTCACCGAAATGTGCGCCCGAGAATAAATAAATCGGCGAAGCTCCTATGCGATTTCCGCGATTTCTCGTCATTGAATATCTAGGTAAACATAAAGTATGGCATAGTGACCATAATTCTGGATTATCGGCGACTTCTAAGTGCGTTGCGGGGGAAGTCGCCGCATCATCGTTCGATGAGGCCCTTCGATAAGTGGGCCTTGAAAAAAGCGGCAACGTGAAAACGGAGCATCGGTTTTATTCGCGCGCGAATAAGCTCCCGCGATTCTCGCGTTTTACCGAAATGCGTCAAAAGTGTATCTAAAATTTCGACGTCGCCGCTCGTCGCGAACGAAAAAAGTAACGCGAGTGCAAAGTGTTTCGAAAACTTCTACGAGGACAGTTCCCAAGGTTGGTTTCCTTCAGAAAAAATGCCGATCAGGAATCCAGAATACGTCGACACCAGAGAAGAAGGACAATCGAAATGTGAGTCGAATTATTTATTATAATCATTATTATTTACTCTCTTTTTCTCTTTCGCATGCACGCGTTATAATAAGACATAAGACATTTGTAAAAACATTCTTACTCTATGTACTTATTCGTATTGACTCAGTAATCGCGAATTAATGACGCATACTGATTACCGTACAGTTTATCTGACAAACGAAACATTATTTCTCGTATAAAATAATAATTTTTCAAAGTCAGTTGTCAGATTTATATAGTTATATGCGCGACATTCCTCAGTTCGAGTAAGTCTTTAGGCGGTGATAGATCGTTATATCGATCTTAAAACGAAAAAATTTTTTTTATGGCCAGCACTCAACTTTAAAATATTTCAAATCTTTTTGCGCAATCTTTTTCAGAATCGTTTGTAGTTGCGTGCAGTTATTTTCGTTTTATTTGTAGTTATGCACGAATATAAATTGCACTTGTTTAAAAAATGGTAAATAACGAAATTTGTCAATGTTAAAGATTTTTAAATCTGCTTCTTCCAAGAGATTTAGACTCGTTTGTAGCAATATCAATCGAAATTTCTATTGATGGCAAAGTGTATTCTAAAAATCTTCAAAATTTGCAAAACGAATCACTTTTGACAATTTTCTAAACGATTGTAATTCTTAAACAGCGCAACTAGGAACGATACGAAAATCACTTAAAACAACTACAAATGATTCTAAAAGAGATTGCGCAGTCAAGTTTTAGATATCTTAAATTCTGGCGCTGTTCATTTTAAACATTTTTTTTTATTTCTTAATTAACAACAAATACGACAAATACTTTCATTTCCCGCATAAAAATTATTTTTAGATATGTCAGGTCTCAGATACGCACATCTGAATACGCGACATTCCTTGGTTCGAGTATGTCTTTAAGCGGAGATAGATCGATTTATCGATCTTAAAGCAAAAGTTTTTTTAATGATCGGTACCCCACTTTAAAATATTTCAAATCCACATGTGCAGTTTATTTCAGAATCGTTTTCAGTGATATTCGTTTCGTTTGTAGTTGCACGGTTTATAAATTATAATTGTTTAAAAAAATAGTCAAGAGGAAAATATGTCAATTTTAAAGATATTTTTAATCTGCTTTTTCCAGGAGATTTGGACTTGTTTGTAGCAATCGCAATTGAAATTTCTATTGATGGAAAAAGCAGATTTTAAAATTCTTTAAAATTGCGAAATAAATCACTTTTAACAATTTTTTACAATGATTGTAATTCTTAAACAGCGCAACTAGAAACGATACGAAAATCACTAAAAACAACTACAAATGATTCTAAAAGAGACTACGCAATCAAATTTGAGCTAGCTTCGGGCCCTGTACATTTAAAAATTTTTTTTATTTCTTAATTAACAAATACGACAACTACTTTCATTTCTCGCATAAAAATTAATTTTTAGATGTTATGTGTTAGATTCACACATCTGAATACGCGATATTCCTTAGTTCGAATATGTCTTTAAGCGGAGATAGATCGATCTATCGATCTTAAAGCGAAAGTTTTTTTAATAACCAGCTCCCCATTATAAGATATTTCAAATTCTCATGCGCAGTTTATTTCAGAATCGTTTTTCAGAATCGAAAGTGATATTCGTTCCGTTTGTAGATGCACGGTTTATAAATTGCACTTGTTTAAAAAATGGTCAATAGTAAAATATGTCAATTTTAAAGATATTTTAAATCTGTTTTTTCCAGGAGATTTAGACTCGTTTGTAGCAATTGCAATCGAAATTTCTATTGATGGAAAAAGCAGATTTTGAAATTCTTTAAAATTGATGAAATAAATCACTTTTGACAATTTTTTTAGACGATTGTAATTTTTAAATCGTGCAATTACAAACAAAATGAAAATTACAACTAACAACTACAAATGATTCTAAAAGGGACTACTGAATCAAATTTGAGATATCTTAAAGTCGAGTGCTGGTCTTTATTTTAATAAATTTAATTTTTTAATTGACTACCAACAAAATACTATCATTTTCGGTATAAAAAATTAAAAATTAATGTTTTGTCTGGCGTCAGATTCACTAGCTGAATTTGCGACAATTTTTAGTTCGGGTAAGTCTTTAGGCGGTGATAAATCGATATATCCACCTTAAAGCAACAAAATTTTTAAATAATCAGTACCGCATGATATTTCGAATTTACTTGCGCACTCACTTTTAGTATCGTTTGTAGTTGTTTGTTGTTACAATAATGATTTCATCTGTTTGTTTCGTTTATACGTTTCATCAATTAAAAATAATGTGACAACTTAAGAAATTTTGAGAAATTTAGGCAAAATTTAAATGGACGGAGTTCTTTATTATTAACTATTATTAATTTTAGACGCTATCTCAATGTGTATGTAACTTGTACATTACAGATCAACTCTGATGATTTTTCCAACTTTTGAGGAGAAGGAGAAAGCAGGTCTGTGAGAGACATCAGGCGCTGGCGGAGCAACTCTGGGGTGAGTATTTATTTTTATTTATTATTAGAGGTAATAGTAATAATTTTCTGCAATTTGGATGTAATAATAATAGTAGTAGCAACAATAATATTAATAATAATAATATATTAAAAATATTAATTTTTGTGCACTTCTACAATTAAAATTTTATTTTTGTTTATTACAGACAACGTAGCTTCGCTATTAACTCCGCTACTACGGTTGGTGAGTGCTAGTTTTTTATTATGAGGTAACGATTTGGTGTATATTTAGTTGTAGAGACGTAAATTTTAGATTGTAGATTGTAAACTGTTGTTTGTAGATTCGTTATTTCAAAATAAGTACACAATAGATTAGGATATTAACCATCGTATAAAGGAAACTATATTTGATCAAAGTGTTATTGAGTTAATTATCCAACATGACAAGAGCGAAATTTTTGTCAGATCCCATTATTGTTGATATATTTGTTTGACCGTAATTTAGCTTTTTATTTAATCGTTAGACTACTCTATAGTAAAAAAACTTTAGTATGCCAAATATTCTTTCTTTAAATTAAAAGAATTTATATTAATAATTTTTGTGATAAATTTAATAATAATTTCTCGTTAATAGTAAAAATCCCAAGTCGACTACAGCATTTGCGCCATCTCATATTATTGCTATTGTTATATTATCGTATACGTACACTGCTCTCTAAAACCTTCTCGCAAACCGGTGTCCAGTCGAAAATATTCGACAAAAGCGAGAAATGTTCATAAAATGATATTCTTGTTTCGCGAAGCGCCAGATTTTCGAAACTCGTTCGAGGATCTGATTCTCGAAATTGCGACAATTTTTTTCCCGAACAAGCGAAATTCCGCGACGTCTCCGAAATATGCGCCCGAGAATAAATAAATCGGCGAAGCTCCTATGCGATTTCCGCGATTTCTTCGTCGTCGAATATCTAGGTAAACATAAAGTATAGCATAGTGATCATAATTCTGGAATATCGGCGACTTCTAAGTGCGTTGCGGTGGAAGTCGCCGCATCATCGTTCGATGAGGCCCTTCGATAAGTGGGCCTTGAAAAAAGCGGCGACGTGAAAACGGAGCATCGGTTTTATTCGCGCGCGAATAAGCTCCCGCGATTCTCGCGTTTCACCGAAATGCGTCGAAAGTGTCATATCTAAAATTTCGACGTCGCCGCTCGTCGCGAACGAAAAAAGTAACGCGAGTGCAAAGTGTTTCGAAAACTTCTACGAGGACAGTTCCCGAGGTTGGTTTCCTTCAGAAAAAATGCCAGCGAGGAATCCAGAACGTCGAGACCGGAGAAGAATAATCGAAATGTGAGTCGAATTATTGATTATTATCATTGTTTACTTTCTTTCTCTCTCTCTTGCATACGCATGTTGTAATAAGATATAACATTTGTGAATACATTCTTAATTTACACATGTATACTTATTCGTACTTAATGTAGGATTTGTCGTCTCGGTAAACGCGAATTAATATCGCATACGAGATATTACAGTGGCTGCGAGTTTACCGTAAAGTTTATCGTTACATAAAAACGAGAGAATATAATAAATCGTAAACATATTCTCCATTTATGTTTGAAATTTAATGCGATTATTTCGTATTATGTCAATAAACCTTCAGAATTTTCAGGAATATAATCTATGGATAACACGAAATGTGATATGCACTTATATCGTTAAATACAGTCTTTAAATAGAGACGGGAATACGAACAGTAAACATAACTCGCGAGTGGTCGAGGTCGCTGCGACAGAGTTTCGAAACGTCTTTTTTTTCCAGGTGACAAATGACCGTGTCGGTTTTGCTTCTTGACAAACAGGTCCATTTACATAGAAACGTAAAAGTCAATTAACTCGCTTTTATGGTAGCTGTTATAGTACATTATCAATAATATATTTTTTTTTTTTTAATAATCTCATTTTGCACTTTACACATTGATCAAATTTAACATCTTTCGCCGGAATAATTTTATCGAGCACTTTTTAAAAGTGTTTCAACAAAAAGTGTATTTATAAAAATATAATATATTTTATATAAATTTATAGAATTATATACATTGTTTTTTTTTTAACATTATATTTAAAAATAAAAATTACATAAATTTTAAATCAAAATTTTTAACAATAAAAATACAAATCAACGCTCGTGTAAAATTTAAAATTAATAAAACATAAAAAGTAGGCCAAATATACGAGCCAAAATAATTTAGATGTAAGAATAATTAAAAATTATTTATTCATAATATAAATGTAGACGTTTCGACCTTACTAGGTCTTTATCAATACAATTAACCGCATGTATAAAATTATAAAATATAATAAAGAAATTTAAACATAATCTCGCAAGCTATGTAAAGACGAAACTTCGATTATCATTCGATTTAATTACAATGGTTGAAACAATTATTCTTAGATGTCTTCTGTTTAAGACCATCTCTCAAATAAATGCACGGAGAGATTATTCCCTGATATTGCTGAGTCGCAACAACCAACACAAAACATCAATATGGCTTGAATAAATGGGACTCATCTCGTGAAGATGCCCTGAACAGACTGTTCGCTCTGTCCAACCAACGACGAATTTGGACTCCGTGCATTTATTTGAGAGATGGTCTTAAACAGAAGACATCTAAGAATAATTGTTTCAACCATTGTAATTAAATCGAATGATAATCGAAGTTTCGTCTTTACATAGCTTGCGAGATTGTGTTTAAATTTCTTTATTATATTTTATAATTTTATACATGCGGTTAATTGTATCGATAAAGACCTAGTAAGGTCGAAACGTCTACATTTATATTATGAATAAATAATTTTTAATTATTCTTACATCTAAATTATTTTGGCTCGTATATTTGGCCTACTTTTTATGTTTTATTAAATTAAAAATTTTTAATATATGTTAAGGGATATTTTTTATCTCTTGTTATATCGGTGATATCTTTATAATGGCACTTGGAACTCAGTTTGACCTCGTACTTGTGCAAGTTCTCGTTTACACGCAGCCAGGTTCGAAAGAAACGGTACGACGACGATGACACGGTAGATATTGTTTCGCCGAGGTTTCTCGCGATGATAAATGACCGTGTTCACATTTCTCAGTTGCACAGAGGATGTATGAACGCGTACAAAGTCGGACGGTCGAATAGTTGAAGAGTAATTGTCAGTTACATGGTAGACGTAATCCAATTCATCATATCAGCAAAGGAAACGAGGTAATATTCCCGTGAGATAATGTAGGACTCGCGTTATACTTAACTGCGCGAAAGGAATAGGCGACAAAAAATGTCCATCTGCTCCGCATTGTTCCTATTTATTAAAGTTGAACATCCATAACATCTTGTGTCTCATATATAACACATTTCTCTATCGCGCTAAAAATTTTAAAACAATTTTAATATACGCAGGGAGAATTTTCTTTTAGAATTTACCGTGAAAATCTCGTGGTAATCGTGGGACAATAATGGTATTCGAAAAATTGTATGAAAGTTTCTCTGATTAATATTTATCACAAAAAAATAAACAATATTAAAATCTATCACCGCAATAAGATATAAAATATTTATGTTATGTTCGATTAATTTTACTATATATAAGTAAAATTTACTATGTACATAATTGATATTTTTTATCGTGGTAAATATTTGAATCAGAGAAAGTCTTATAAAATTCTAATACCGTATTGTCCCACATTATTTAATTTTCAGTATAAGTAAATTTTAAGAGAAAACTCCCCACGTACATATTTGATAATTGAAAACATTCACTAGCTGCTTTGAATACGTAATTTTATTGAGATTGAAAATTGATTTGATCCAGAATAGAATCTGGAATAAATCTAAAGTGTGTACGACTTAAGGATAAAACGGACTCTCTATAAAGGCTGGTTATTATTTATACACGTGTTAATATTTCATTGCTCCAAATGCACCTCCGTGCGCTTTCTAAGCAGCGCTCTTAATCCCGCCATCAATAATCTGTAGGCTCTCGTAGTATCAAGAGTATTATATTTTGAAGGCGCGGAGAACGCCCACGCGCGCGGCCGAGCAAAGATATAAATAAACGATCGCTTAATAGCCCTGGCGCGGTGCCCGGTAAACAATTTCGATGCCGCGGTGATCCGTCGAGCGGTTTCGCGATATTAGCGCGCGGCAAGTTTTGTTATCCCATTCCGTGGACGAGAAGGGCAAAGAAGGAGGAGTGGATGGATGAGTGAACGAGTTCACGGAAGTTCCACCCGCGCGTGCCTTCTTCGGGGTCGTTCACCCCGCGAATCCCGACAGTTTGATTAAGGACGTAGGAAAAAGTTTTTCGGCCGAAGAGTTGTATAATACTCGGTCAATCACGCGCGGCCGGCTGCGCCGATACATGCGGAGCACACACCTGGTGTATATTATGGTATTATATCGCCGTCAGGCTCCCTTGTCCTTTCCAACCCTCTGTCCATTGTTCCGCTTCTACCCCCGAAAGTATCGACCCCCTTCTCATCATCTCTCGCCACGAGAGACACTCGCTGTCTCTCTGTTTTATTATCTCGTACACCAGCGAGATATTCCTGTCGAGAGACGTCGCTGAGACGAGATATTGTCGCCAAGTTGCTCCGCGGCTTTGTAAGAAGTTATTGCAGATATCCTTCGCAATGTCCTTCGTTCTCGCTTAAGACGATTTCGACGGCAAGCAACGTCGAAGCGGGAGAATGCCTTCCATTTTCATTCATCGAGCTGCCGTTTCTCTTATAGTTATTTAGAAAGAAGTAAATGGTTTTTTCACCGTAATGACTATCCAATTAAAATTTCCTGTAATTAGACATTGGAACATTGAATGATTAATAAGAAATGTAATTGCTTTCCTTAAGATATAAACGTCAATGTTAAAAAATTAATAATGAAAAATATAATTACCGCTGTTCATTGTTACTGTAATTAGCTATTAACGTGATTAGTAGATGTATTGTCAGACATTTGTAAATCTGCTTTAGATTAAGTCTGTGTGCACTCGATTCTCGAATGGTCTCGATACAACGATATGCCTCGTGTAGGCTCGTCCCTGAGATATGCGTTCAGAGCGTGAAACCGGTTTCATGCAGCGTGAATAATTTCGCAATAATATAGCTATGCTGAAAATCGTACATTAAGAAGAAAGAGAATTTCGAGATTGGGAAATAGATAAAATTAATAGATAGATATAAACAAATATACTTTGTTATTAGATCATTACATTACTTATATTACAAATGTCAGAAACTTTGTCTAAATAATTTTTTATTCAAAAATATATACTCTTTATTTATCAAAGTCATTAACAATCATTTTTATAACGGTCACAGATATTACTTAAGATTAGATAAAACTACATGTGTGAGATGCAAAATAGACATGGGCGTCCGTAGAATTTTTTCAGGGGGAGCATGATTAAATTTTTTGTTTCTTATTTTTTGTTCTTTCTTAATTTTTTAAAATTTAATTTTTTTTATTTTTATTTTGTTATATTAAATATGTAAATAAATTGCAGTGCACGGAGAGAAGTTTCTCTTAGAATTTACCTTGAAAATCATGGTATAGGTAATCATAGTAAATTTTATTACGTACATAATAAAATTAATCGAATATACTTTATATAATATATAATATATCTTATTGTGGTAGATATTAATATTTTTTATTGTGGTAAATATGTATTAATCAGAGAAACTCTTATAAAATTTTTCCAATATCATATTGTTCTATACGATTACCATGATTTTCCGAATAAGTTCTATGAGAGAATTCTTTCTGTATATTTATTCAAAAGATGTGCAAATGCTTAATTTTTTTTTACTGAAGGAGGGGGCGAATAGGGGTTCTGGCCCCTCTTTGCGAACGCCCATGAAAATAGAGAATCTATTTTCTCCATCTTTGCAAATATATAAAAAAATATAGGAACGATATATTTAATTCGACCCAAACTAGCCAAGAAAATTTTTATTTTATTTCCACAACGTTTCGACCATCTGTTTTTTGGTCCTTTTCAAGTGGAAAATTTCTTGATAAAGCGCAGTTAGTTGACACTGTTGTCATGATTATTAAACAATATGATTATCGGACTTTTTTCAAAACATTTGAAATAACTTTGAAAGAAGAAAAAAGTAATTTATCAATGAATTTTCCACTCGAAAAGGACCAAAAACAGATGGTCGAAACGTTGTGGAAATAAAATAAAAATTTTCTTGGCTAGTTTGGATCGAATTAAATATATCGTTCCTATTTTAAATACCACTAGCGACGTTTTAAGTATTCAATTTGATAAAAAAATACAATTTAAACAAAAATTTGTCGCTTCGTGTTAGATTCTTTTTTCCCATCTCGTCTCTTTATTTGAATTGATGAAAATTTATGGACAATCATGATCGTAGTCTCTTGACAATTATAGATGCGAAAGAGATATGAGATCGAGGCAAGTTTGGGAACCCCTGCCTTCTGTAGGCCTCTCGTTCTCCCCGTACGGTCACGCTCCTGAGCGTGCGTGGCCGCGATGCGCGACGGTTCTTTGACTCGGTGCCGGGAGTCAGTCAACCCGGTGACGGCTTCCAGGTTGCGTGCTGTTCTCCACCAAGCGTGGTCCTCGGCGCTCACGAGCTCGAGTCGAGGGCGGCAAACGCGTGTGTTCAGGTATATACGTGCGCCGATTATCGAAGTCGACGAATTCGTCACTGAGAGTCAACTCAGGTTCTTCAAGCTCGAGGAATAAACGAGTCGAGACGATTCTCCGAAAATGCGAGAAGCACGCGATGCGTGCGATCGACAGGTGACACGTTCCCGCTAAAACCGGCGAAAGAGTTTTACGTGTTCCGCTCGGTCCACGAAAATTGAAGCGCGCGTATTCTGGACAACAGCGATGGATCATCAACGAGTGTGTCGGTGAGCGAAGGGATTTTTTTTCGGCGCGATCGATACTACGCGGAATCGTCGTGCGTGATCCGAGTGTGGAATTCGATGGGATTGCTATCGGCATCGTAGTGGTTAGAAAGGTGAGGCCAGGAAGTGCTCGGTCGATTTAGCCGTTTGATAATCGAAAGATCAAGTTCCTTCTTCCTCCGCGTGCGAAACTCATCGTTCGTTTTGCATCGATCGAAGCCAGAAGTCTCTTGGATTCGTGTTGAAAGAAGAGAAATGTGTTGAAGAAGATTCTGTCGCGAGTCGGCTCCGTTATTGTGTTAGACTACAAAAGTGGGAAAATCTCTCCCTTCAGCTCCGAATCTCGTAATCGGATTTTGATGAGAGGCGCTTTTCTGATAGATCATCCTCATCCGAAGAAACCGCCGAGCGAACTTCTTCACGGCACGTCGGAATAATCGCAGCAGGGATCCGCGAGAATACCCGAGAAGAATTCCAAATACCTCTTCGTTTCACTCTTCGCATTTGCATTCATACCGGAGTTTCACGGAACGACGCGCGTTCGATCGCGATCCGATTTCGCAACCGGTGAAGGGGATCAGGATCGAGATTATCATCCTCGTCCCTGTCATTGCTGAGAGGAGAGAGGAGAAACCCTGCAGACCCGTTCGAGGCTAGCTGCCGAGCTGCCGCGGCTCGAGAGGATCCACGAGGAATTCTCCACGGACTCCAGGACGATCGCCAGACGGCGAGCCACTGGTGCGTCCGCGATGGAGGACGAGCTGCGATGTCCCAGCTGTAAGGAGCTGTTCGTGGAGCCGGTGTTGTTACCCTGCTGGCACGCGTTGTGCTTAGCCTGCGCGGTTAATCTGCAGGCGCCTCCGGACTCGCCTCCGGAATCCACCGCCGACTCGTCGAACGCGCCCGGCTCGGACCAGGAGGCCGACAAACTGTCGATCCTGTCCGAGACCGATTCCGGGGTCGTCTGCAGCAGCACGTCGACGAGCTCGCGACCGGGCAGCTACGTCGGCACCCCGGGCAACGGCGGCGGCTTTCCGCCGTCCGGCGGCACCCTCTGTCTCTCGTGCCCCGTCTGCCAGAAGACCGTCTACTTCGACGAGGGCGGCGCCCACAATCTGCCCAAGTATTGGGCGATGCAACACATCGTCGAGAAGTATCAGGAATCGCGGAACTCGCGGCTGCAGTGCCAGATGTGCGAGGGAGAACCGCGCGACGCGACCGTCGCGTGCGAGCAGTGCGAGGTTAGCTCGATTATATTCATTATGTATAAGGGGGTATAGAGTAAATCATGTTTTGCACCCCGGGTTTGCGAATATAATGTATATGAATGCAGCGCGTTTTGTCGCGAATTGGAATCTCGCGCCAGAGATTAGCGCGAGATTAGAAGTTTGATTAATAAATGGGGTTGAATAAGAGTTATAATGAGAAAGGTGGGATATAGATGGTGGCGCGTGAGAGATTGAGTATTTCCTATTTAACAGTCATCCTCGAGTTAGGAAGAAATAATTGGGATTGTTGGCACTGTTGAGTTAGCTTTGCTTTAACTTTGCTTGCGAATACTGCGTTCACGTATATATGTTTAGGATTGAGAACTCTCTGTAAAGTAATAATGAGGAACATTTCAAATACATATTCTAGTAGAGACTGCTCGTTATTATTTATATTGATTGGAAATAAATTTAGAGAGTATGTTATAATTGCAGACTTAATTTGTTGAACATATTGAAAGCAAAATTTTATATGTATGTCACAATTAAAAATATAATATTTATGTTTTTTACAATAAACTTTTTATTAATATTTTCAAATAAAAAGTTTAACACGATTTTATAATGGCTAAATTAAGAAAGAATATAATAACGAATGACGGTTTTTGTGTATTTCATATAAAAGTGTATAATTTTATAAATCTGCTCATGAAAATATAATAATTCCATTTTTGTTCGTCAGTTCTGTCTTTGTTCGAGTATCTGTGGATTTTGTTTCTCCACAAGAATTTTTCTGTTTGTTATTCTATTTTTAAAAATATGTATCTGTAGTCTTGGATCAAACAAGAGACCACATAGTGTGACATCCGTATAAAACTTTTTGTTATTCTCTTTTTCCCGCTCGTTCTGCAGGGACCCTTCCACTTGTTAGAGACTCGAGAAAAGAAGGAAAAAAGTCTCCACTGTGAATTTGCTTAAAAATATGAAATTGTCAGATTGTAATACGTTCTGTAAAAAAAGAAAGTAACATTTTTATAACTGTAAAAAATTTTTGAACAACGTGAATTTATAAATAGACCAAATACATCACCAGCAATTATTTTGATTAATATTTTCGTCTCATGATGACATTCGGCGAAAGAACAGCGTTTTAGCGGAATATAAAGCTATATCCGTTGGCTGTTTGATGTCTAATTCGTCTCTTTCGTCGTTTCTCCTCCATGATATTTCTGTCCCGATGCTTTAACTCGCCCGCTTCGCTATGAAAACTTCCACCACGCCGGTAAGATCAGAAAAAGTTCCCAGGACTACCATTCTTAACGATCGCGGCATCAGCCGTGTTTATTTCTCTTGTGTGCTCTCCTCATCCAGAGGATGCTCGTTAACTCCCGCCTCGTTCTTCCCTGAAGTCCACTTCATAACTTTTCTCTTCGCGGTATAAGCGCACTAGAGCCGCTCTCATCTACAAGAGCCACGTCTATATCGTTATCGGTATAATATCGAGCGTTATAGACATCGTTATACTATAGAAACACGAAGATTTTATTGATGGCAAAATCAAGAACAAAAGTCATGTAAAATCGTGATATCGCCGCGTCTATATAAATATATTTTTATTTAAATATAATTAAACACATATGTCTATCAATTTTATATCGAACAGAAACATGTCGAAATGTCAACATTGTTTATGAAAGGATATATTTTTATCTCGCTTTCAGGCAAATGTGAATGATTTTATAGATACTCCTTTCTCATAAAACCCAGTAAAATATAATGTTTTATTGAATATTCAATCATATTTTATTGAAAATGTCAATATGTAATATATATATAATTTTTGTAATTTACTATTATAATTTCTAAAAAAATATTTTTAATTTCTCTTTCATAGATTCAAAAAGTTGTATTTTTTATTACGCTATTTTAAAATTGTTCCTAGTTCTGTTTATGTGCGAAAATAAGAGATATTTCTCGAACGATTGTCAAGTCCGGCTCACGCAAAATATTTGCACGATATATTTGCAGAAATCATCGCTACGTAACACTCACGAAAAGAGCAATTTTATATTGTTCGGTGCTCCGTTTGAAAAGATCGAGTTACCACGTATCGGAATGTCGCATCGCATGAAATATCTCGTTGCGACCAACATATATGCACGCCAATCGCACAACTCTTGTCTCGTCTCCCATTTGCTCACTTTTCTCCGAAGTGTTAAATTTCATTTTCAACCCTCTCCGTTATACCGCGTTGCGACAAGTGGCGGATATTTTTTCTGTGATTTTACATTCTCGCCGCGCCGGTCATTTCTCGTTGCGTGGAAAAAAAGAGAGAGAGAGATAGAGAGAGAGTGAGAATCGATGTGGTGCAGTTTCACTCGTCGCCGACAACATATTCGCGCGACAACAATGCCTCCATTATTGATAACCGAAATGATATTATTTCCGGAAAGGAAATATCGAGGAATATTACTGAACAATATTGTCGTATGTTATTTTTATTTCTCAGTTATTATTTTTATTAAATTTGAATTTCGTGAATATACATTCGTGTTATGCTGCCTTAGATAATCATTACTTTGTATGAAAATCTATTTGTTAAAGTAAATTTATATATTTAATTATAATATTAATTATAATATATATATATAACACCGTAGTTTTACACCAGATTTCTTTTTGATATTGCATTCATACGCATTTTATTATATTGCGAAACAATGTGAGAATCACAAAGTATAGCACAAAAATTTAATTAAATGCACAGAAAATTAATTTTAGTAACTACGAAAAATGACGTATATTTCGAATATATATATGTATACGGAACTTGCTTCACGCTACTGTTTGTACGAGTTTCGCTGCATGAATGACAAGGCCGCGGCATGTAAACAACAGAGCCGCAAAATTCGGCGCTCGTACTTTGTGACGTATATAGTGTGTACAGTTGTTTATAACAGTAGACTTATTCGAGTCCGACCTTGTCATTCACGTGGCGAGACTCGAACAAACAGTACCGCGAGCCGCTCCGTCTTCGTATTATCTCCACATAATCGCAATCATATTTCATAAACTATAATTAACGAATTATCAATCCGTGCGCATTTAATTAAATCAACTTTGTGCGACGTTGTTCTCATGTGTATCTGGTTGTCGGTTGCGAGAAATACGATCGCGAGAAATATTATATGTACGAGATGGCGATCATTTCCTGTGATTGCAATTAACGATTATCAATGCGCGCGATTGATTAATGATAAACGACGCGGGCGTGAATGTCGCGGCGACGTTTAATTGATTCAACTAACGAAAAGGTATACATGCATCGATTATTTATTAATAATATCCATTTATTTCGCGGAATTTACATGTTGCATATCTATAATACTATGCTGCGATATCGGAGTGAAAATCAATGTCATTTTCGTAATTTTCGATCTTTGAAGAAATTATTCTCAGGAAGAAAATAATATTCTTGAAATTAATAATTATTGATAAATTTTATTTGCATGTTAGTGTTATGTAAGTTTGATCGAATGTTTGACACCGATTTAAAAAAAATTCAGAAGATTAGAAGAATTTGAATAATGCATCTGAATATATTCAAGATTTACTTGAAAATATAAAAAGAGGAAATACGTAAAACGACATTGAATCATTTCGTCATTACTTTTTATAGATTTTTTTCTCTAAGCATTCGATATTGCACGGAGAGAATTTTCTCTTAGAATTTACCCTGAAAATCATGGAACAATATGATATTGGAAGAATTTTATAAGAGTTTCTCTGATTAATATTTAATACAACAAAAATATTAATATGTGCATAGCAAATTTTACTTACATAGTAAAATTAATCGAACATATTTTATATCTTATTATGATACATATTAATATTTTTTATTTTGTGGTACCTAAATATTAATTATAGAAAAACTTTCCTAAAATTCTTCCATATACCATATATTGTCCCACGATTACCACGAGATTTTCCAGATAAATTCTAAAAGAAAATTCTCTGCGCGTGTGAATATCGATTCGTGGGAAATAAAAAAATATCTCTTTTCTCCCTAAATATTTCTCACATAAATACGAAGATCGTGATTTTTCTTTCAGGTTTTATATTGCGACGCCTGCAGAGAGTCCTGCCATCCGAAGAGGGGCCCACTGGCGACCCACAATCTGGGACCACCGAGAGGCAGCTGGCAATCGAACGGAGGCAAGGGATCCCGGCCCGAGAGCACGCCTGTCTGCAACGATCACAACGGCGAAGCGGTGACTCTCTATTGCGCCCTTTGCAAAATCGCGATATGCGCCCTGTGTCTTCGTGATCGCCATGCCGCGCATCCTCACGACGTTCTGCCGTTGGCCGCAGCCTGCAAGGCGCAAAAGGTAAGTGCACTCTCATCCTTTCGAATAGTAATCTGGAAAATCTTCACGAGTGCACGCGACATTTCTACCATAAATACTGAAGCAGCGATAAATATTTTGGAAAGAGATAATCGCGATCTTGATTGACGAAGAAAACTTCTTCGTAAAATAGAAGAATATATATTAGGACGGAGAAAAAAGTAAATTGTCTTCTCCTAACATCCCTTAAAGAAACGTGATAATATATAAATGAAGATTAAGTAGACGCAGATTAGTATTTTCAATCAGCAATCTATAAATATACAATATTTAATCGAAATCTCAAACGATTAACGCGTTGGGCGAATTACTATAGATTTTACCTCGGAAGAATGATGTTTGCCGGTAAAATACGCGGCGCGATAATATATGTATATTTGATGATGAACTCGGACGCGCGTAATTTATGTGCGTAGCTCCGCGTGGGCAAAATCCGAAAATAATAGATGATGCGGTGCCAAGCCCGTTAACACGACCAATAATTGAGTTTCAATCCACTCACTCTCCGCAATATGCACTATATTCGCACTTCGATGCGCTTCGTATATAACGCCGTAGTTTTGCGCCGATGAGTTTCCCCACGTTGTTCTTCTGACGATCGCTTTTTGTACCTATGTATATGTTATGATCCACGTTTCAATCTCTCGTTTCTATATATCTACGCGACGATCGACAATTAGAAATTATATTGCCATTATATGCTAATCGATCACATGCCAGGCGTATTTGCGCATCTGTCGCTATACTGCAATTGCACTATAATTAAATACGCATTGTAAAATATGGCACGCAATTATTCGAAATTACATATTAATTAGTAACTGCGCGATTAGATATAATAATTACGCGTCGTTCTATATATAGATAATCGAAATTTTACACATGCTCTCATGCATATACAATAATATAAATTCGCATACTCTATATGATATATACATATATACATTTTCTATTTCTACCCCGACTCCGTTATCGCGCTCGCGCGATATATCGATAGCAAGAGAATGCGTTTTATTCAGAGGATGTTTCATCACTTCGCCGCAACTTTCCGATATCGTATTAACACAATGCTATCGCACTTCTCTTCGTACTTCAAAGCAACTACCGTCGCGCGTTATTGCGTTTCTCCGTTCCTCTCATCTCTCGGTGAGATAACGTGAGGATCCCGCGGAAATTGCGCGCGGATGACGATGGCGACGATATACACCGTCTCGCTAATCGCACGTCTGCACATTCCCTCGGATGATCGGGGAACCCGCGTAACGACACAATATTCGCGATATACTGCAGTCCTGATCGACAGCTGGCCCCGATATCGCCCTGATGTCTCCCTGTTTTGTTCCGCACACGTGACACATACGTTGCCTCCCGGTTTTGACGTTCGGACCTGGCGAACGCCGACACCTGGTCACTTCCTGACATATGGGGCCGCGCCGATTCCATCATCCGGCGCCGATGGAATCGTTTCCTCTCCGCGATTAATCTGATAAATTGCCCTGCCCCCTTCGTCCATCCTGGTCCAGTCAAAACCGCCTGACTCCAGCAATTTCGTAATTGATTGCCGCCGGGCGAGCTCTCGCTTTTGTTTGCACTCGCGCCACCCATTATATCTCGAGACGGCGCGGCCGATAGTTGACCCCGATGATAAGATCGATAGAGTTCGTGCGGACTGCGAAGGGAAAATTTCCGCGTACATATATATATATATATGTGCGGAATCCTCTAATCGCCGATATCCGATGGTAACCTATATGCCGATCGCCTCTAGCGATATTTCGATTATGGATGGGTTTTTCGACGAAAAACCTTTAGAATCGTTCAAATCGGGGGGTTTACATTCGTTCCATCGTTCTTTGTTTAGCGGGCAAACACGAAAGAAAGCGATTGTGATCATAACTCACCGATGTTGAACTTGTGTGATATTTGCTTTCTTTCATCTTTATGAGCGACAAGAAAATATTGTTGATTGTTTCGATAAGAAGTTATGCAGGATTGCAATTATTATATTTATAAATAATAATCAGAGCGCGCTTTAATAAATTACGTTTTTAAATGTTGTTGTCTCTCTGTGTAATTATATGGTGTTTTCCATTTACAATTAGTAACACAAGCGTCATTCTAACTTTGTTCTAGATTCTACACTGAAAAAAATATTTGTGCAAAATTACATGATTATGAGGAGTTTTTTTTCGACCCAGCATAATCATGCAATGTTGCTACTCATATGGAAGATTACGGATTATATGTAATTTCATATGAAATATATTCTTATATACAATATGTATTTTCAAGATTAAAAATATTCCACTGAACATGGAATTATACATAGAAGAAAATGCTAATAATGTATAAATGCTATAAAATAATGTTATAAATAAATGCTTATAAAAAATAAAATATAGTAATAAAGTAAAAATATTGACAATAAATTTTTACATTAATATATGCATTTTCGCTTTACAAAATATGAAAAAAATATTAGTGATCATTAAATAATTTTTCCAGTTTTGAACAAGTAAAATTTCCATGTAAAAGTACATGGATTTTTTTTCAATGTATGAGAATAAAGATATAGAATGATGCTTGTGTTGCTAAATGGAAATCCACAATTTGGCCAAATTTGGCGCGTTTTCTGAACGATACATCTCGTCGTTAGTCGAGACCGGGTCGGAGAAACGCGCTGAAAGTGCAGTTCGTGATAAAGTAATTTGCAACAGGCTCGTTTATCAGCTGAGCCACGCGAAGATCGGCACCGGATTGCGCCGATCGTAGAGTTCCGGGTGCGGGTCGCCAATCATACGTCAGTTGCGATAACGTGCAACCCCGATGCGAAACGTTACCGTCGCGTTTTGACACGTAATCATCCGTCACTTTGTCTTCTCTCTTCATCTCTCTCTCTCACCCTCTTTCGACCTTCGATCGTTTCCTCCTCCTTCTACGTATATCGGAGGTGGGCGCGATGCCCTGGTCATTATTACACATTAATGTTGACGCACGAGGCAATACTCGCACGTTGCACCCGATATTTCGGTAATTAGTCTGCCTGCTCGTCGGCTAATCAAGGCAATGTCGGCGTGCATGCGCGAATCGGTATTCGTGTCTGTAATCGCGATAATACGATCCGTTGTGCAAGTAGTAGCACTTATTACTTGAGATGCAAACAATGGTGAATAATAGTCTCTAACATGTATGAAACCGATATTTTTTTTCAAACGCATACCTACGTTAAATGAGTTATTTTCCAGAGTCCGCGATCTCGTCGCTCTGGAATGTAATTCAAGCTTCTCGGGTGTAAGCCTTTAATCCGTATGATGCAGCGATTACGTAATAACATATTGAAACATGTTTTATCGCGTAATGATATGTTTCCTCGGGACGCAATTCACGTAAAATAAAAAAAGAATCTTATAGTTATCAGTCGGATAACGATCGTTCCGATTTCGCGATGTTATAGAAAATTGCCGTGGTGCTCTTATCGCCTATATCGCGTTGTAACGATAAAATCACATCTCGCGGGCGCGTTGGCGCTTTTAATCGACGCGTTAATAGCTACGGCGATGGTCTCGATTGATTTTAAACGAAAGACCTAACACGGCTGAGTGATGGCTGAGTGGGAAGGACCGCAATAATAATAATCGATCATAGCCGGACTCACGCGATTGCGGCCGCGTTCCCGACCTCAATTGATTGTACATCCGCTTAATCGATATAAAAGGCCATGTTTTAATAAAACGTCTGACGAGTGATGCCCGAGCGTCGTTCTTTTTGCGTTAATTTTCTAGATAAGCTCCGGGAAAACGCCGTCTTTTTATTGAATTTCTTAAGAATATCGTGTGAAAATTTTCGCTTTTATTAACACTGTGAATACATGAATATTAATATTAAAAATTAATAAAAATATCCGTAATTTTGTAAAAAATTGAACAAATAAATAAAAAAATTTTGAATCTATTTTTACGCATGTCTTAAGTGTCTTTATCGATATTATTATTGATTAATATTAATATATTAGTATTATCATATTGATTAAGTAATATAATTTCGTGATTTGAGATAATTTATCTTTTACGAAACGGATTTTTTTTTTTTTTTAACAAAATTACTGAAAATTTGGGGAGCTTCGACAATGAGAAAGAAACTCGTGCTCGCAGTCGAATATCACATTTGCACATTTCATGAATCTTGCATGAACTTGCGTAAATATATGCATAAATATGCATATCTTCCGTATACCGAATGGTCTAAGTCTACTGCAATGTATTACAAGATTCGATTACTTAGTAGTTACCGGCAAATAGACAAGGGTCGACCCTGATCCTCTGTGTCAAGTTTGCTCGCGGGAAATCGATTGTTTGCAAAGAGCACATCTTGCGATCCTCCAGGCATCATCATGCAGTCTCTGTAGTCTTTAAATTACGAACAAAATGAAAATAGTTTTTTCAAGAAGAATCTTGTTTCAAACTCGTTGCATAATAATAAGAAAATAGATATATTACATCTATACATTTGCGGTTGCCTTACATTTTCCATACGTATACTAATATATAAAAAAGACATATATAAAATATAAGGATGAATAGAAATTTCACACGAAGCCGCTATTATCCGAATGAAACTTAAAGTGCGCCCTTTCACCCTCCGAATGAGCTAAACCGCCTTTTCGCTCTTTCAAGCCATAGCTCTTAAATATTTTCGAGTCTTTCCTTAGCACCGCTGTACACAACGTCTATTGAGCGAGACCTCATCCAGTTCTCTCGTGTCGCGGCACCGTCGAGAGGAAGCGTCCTCGAGGCGGCTGAAATCTGCCTGCCTGCTCTCGCCGCGGGAGAGGCAGGCAGGTAAAAGAGACGCCGGAAGTCGACGGGAAAGGGGGAAAATCGCTGTCGAAAAATCAAGGTACGGTAAGCGGCGCCGCGACGTTCGCAATTTCCGCGACCGAGGGAGAAAACGCCGAGTCGCGTCGTCTGCCTGCCTTAAACAGC